GCCTACTGAGCACCTCTCCAGAGCCTGTCCATCACCAAATGTCAAACCTGACTTCTAACAGCCTCCTAAATTCCTTCCATCTCCATTTTCCCTGCCGCCATGGCATGTCACCTGTACGATGACACCTGCAGCCTCACTGGTCTCCCCTACTCACTCTCAACTGCAGGGTCTGTTTCCCACACAGCACCCAGAGGACTTGATGAAGGCCCATCTGACAGTCTCCCCAACTGCCTGCCTCCCTTGGAGCACTCAATGACTCCCTGATGCTTGTAGTCTAAGCACCTACCACCCCTCCGCCCACGGGGCTTCACCCACATGAGCTTTCTTCTCATCCTTCAGGATCTCCCTGCTCTTGGCCCCAGGACCTTTGCACATGCTGCCTCCTCCTGCTGGGACATCCATGCTCACCTACCTGGCTAACTCCCACTTCAGAGAGGTGCCTGTAAACCAGGGGTTCTCAAAAAGAGGCTCCTGGACCAGTCCCAACAGCAGCACCTGGGAACTTGTTAGAAATGAAAGCTAGAAATGCCCAGGCCCATTGGCTTAGAAACTCTGGAGTGGCCCAGCTGTGCTTAAGAGGCAATATGGAAGAAGGTCCTCCCGGGTCTTGGCCCTGCAGGTGATTCTGATGCCTGCACCTGAGAACCACGGCTCTAAGCCCCAGCTCAGGCCCACCAGCTTGTATCCTTTCTCATCCCAGAATCCCTTTCCTTCCAGCCTTCCCAGGTGTGTCTCTGTGGTTACACAGGTCTTTGGGAGATTATCTGGTGAACATTTGGCTCCCCAGTGGTACCCCAAGCGCAGGGGCCATTCGGTCTTTGCTCATCATTGTGTCCCGGCACCTAGTGCCCTGGGCCTGGCTCTCAAATCAGGGGTTTAAAGGTTGAGGGTTAAACAACTGTTGAGTGGCCAGCCTCCAGGTGGACCCAGTCATGGACCCACTTGGTGTGCAGGAGTCAGAGGCGCTGGTAGTATAAGCACCTACCACAGATGTGGGACCCTCAAAGGGGCTGAGGACAGGGTAAAACACCTGGGGAGGATTTCAGTCCCTGCAGAAAAGGGGCAGAGCCCGGGCTTCCCTTGCCCCTTGCCCCGCCATGGGGCGCCTGGGAGGGAGGTTTATTGATCACCAAGCCCTGCTTCGGGTGATTGCTATCTTTCAGTCCTCACAACAGGCTCCTGGGAGGGTGTTCTTAACCTTCTCGCTCTACAGATGGGAAAGGGAGACTCGGTGGGGTTCAGTCCCTTCACCAAGGACCCATAGTTGCTCAGGGTAGGGCAGGACTTGAAGCCAGGCTGTGTGTGTTAGTCTGGGTAGACTAGAGAAGCAAATTCATACACACTCATATGTGTACAAGAGAGAGCTTTATATAAAAGAGCAATTGTATATTAAGAAAACATCCCGGTAGCATATGGTCATTGGGCCTCCACTCAAGTACTCCCTCAACACAAGAACACTTTGTTCTGTTAACCTGGCATTACATGATGCTCACCTTCCCTACATGATCACTGAAGACAAAGCAGGTGCATAAACAAATGTTGTGAAGAAAGCTGATGGTGTCTGACTGATAAACAAGTGGCCATCTAGCTGAGAAGCAACAAAGCCCACATGGTGGAAGAAGCACACCAGCCTGTGTGATCAGGAGGTGTCGATAGGATCAGGCATCAGGCATCAAAGAATAAAATATCATATCATTGTGAATGAGGGGGAGTGCAGAGTGGAGACCCAAAGCCCATCTGTAGGCAACGGGATATCCCCTTACAGAGGGTCGCGGGGAGGAGATGAGCCAGTCAGGGTGCCGTATAGCAACAATAAACATACAACTTTCCTCTACTTCTTTAATGTTTCCTCCCCCCCACCCCCACCCCACTATCATGACCCCAATTCTACCTTACAAATCTGGCTAGACCAGAGTATATACACTGGTACAGATCAGAGCTGGGAATCCAGGACAGATAAACCCTTGAGAGTAGCAATACCAAGAGGGTAAGGGGAAGGTGGGGGAACTGACCACAATGATCTACATATAATCCCCTCCCTGGGGGACAGACAACAGAAAATTGGGTGAAGGGAGACATCGGACACTGTAAGACATTCAAAGATAATAATTTATAAATTATCAAGGGTTCATGGGGGGTGGGAGGGGAAAATGAGGAGCTGATACCTAGGGCTCAAGCAGAAAGAAAATGTTTTGAGAATGATGGCAACAAATGTACAAATGTGCTTGACACGGTGAATGTATGTATGGATTGTGATAAGAGTTGTATGAGCTCCCAATAATATGATTAAAAAAAAATCCCAGCCCAGTCCAGATCAAGTTCATAAGTCCAATATTAGCCCATATGTCCAATACCAGTTTATAAATTCCTCTTTAGACTCATGCAACACATGCAATGACGCCTAATGCAGGAAGATCACAGGCCCATGGGTGGAAAGTCTTGTGGATCCAGCGGGAGTGGAAGCATCTCAGTGCTGGTGTGGGTCTCCACATGGCTCCTCCAGCTCTAGGGCTCTGGCTTGTCATCAGGAATGTGTAGCAGAGTGATAGTGTGTCCCGTCTCCAGGGAAGAAGACAGGAGTTCCCAGAATCCTCAGGAAAAGGCCATGCCCACACAAAAGCTTCATTTGGCTGTGACCTGATTGACAGGCTAGACTCCACCCCTTCGCAAGTTGGCAGATTATATAACTGCCACACTGTGCGACTGATGCAGAGACCCTGAGGCCAGGGTGGCCCAGGAGAAACATGGTGTGTGTGTGTGTGTATGTGTGTACACCTGTGAGTCAGAGGCTTGCTGCTGCTGGATCCTCCCACATTCTCTAGAGAAACCAAAATTATGGATTTAAATATTGAGATTTTTGTGTGGATTGAACATTGAGTAACAGGGATATAAAATCTCCCTGTTTCTCAATGTTATCACAAGTAACTCTTTCTCTGGTTTTGTTTTTAACTAAGATGCTCCCAGAGATGAGACAAATGTCCAAGGCAGATGACCGGGAGACCAAGAGAAAACGTGTCACAGAACCAGAGGGTGACAGGCTGACATTTGCTTCCCACGAGATATGATGAGGGACTTGTGCAATTCCTGGAAGTATCCAAAGAGCTAAGAATATTGCCAGATCAATTGCTGTCATTCAGAAGTGGAAAGTGTTTGTTTGTTTGTTTGTTTCAAAGATGAATAGAATATGTTCAGAGAAGAGAGGCTACCTGTTTCTAACGTCCTACACAATGATTATTGTCTGGCCTCCATCCAAGGAATGGGATCCTACTCCTACTGGGAACGATGGTCAGGGGTAAATCCCACAGCCGATGAAGGGAAGACTATTGCGAGGGAGGACGCAGTCAAGAAGCAGCACGGAGAGGCCCTGATGCCGGGGCTTAGGTGGAGAGCAAATGCTTTGAGAATGACAAGGACAATGAATGTACAAATGTGCTTTACAGTACAATTGATGTATGTATGGATTGTGATAAGAGTCGTATGAGCCCCTAATAAAACGATTAAAAAAAAAAAGAAGCAACATGGAAATATCTTAAATAGGAGTTTTACTGGGTATTTTTTGGTCATGTATTGTTTAATATTTTTCATTAATATGCTAAACTCTTATCTAGTTTGTGTACTTCTTTTATTCTTATTTAAGTATTAACTGTATGAAATAATAAACTACCTCTCAGTATACCATTTTGTTATACTTAAAGTGGTTAGTTGGGCAGTGAACTGGTTGTCAAATTATCTGAATCCCACCACTGGGCAACGGCCAAACCCACTGCCATTGAGTCAATTCTGACTCAGACCCTATATAGGGTTTCTGAGACTGCGCATCTGTGTAGGAGCAGATACCTTATGGTTCTCCTACAGAGCGGCTGGTGGGTTTGAACCACTGACCTTGAGTTAGCAGTGTAATGTTTATCTCACAGCACTACCAGGGCTCCTGACATAGACTGCTAACACGAACCCTCAGCTTAAGAGTTCCAACCGGCCAGGGCTGTGTAGGTGAGAACTCGTGTATGAGAGAGTCTTATATAAAGGGTAAGTGCACATCAAGAAAACATCCCAACCCAGTGCTGCCCAAGCCCACAAGTCCAATATTAACCCATATGTCCAACACCAATCCACAAAGTCCTCCTCCATCTCACAAAACACATGCAATGACTCCGACTGCAGGAGGAAAGCCGAGTCAGTGAACGTGTAAGCATCTCAGCACTGGCAGGAGTCTCCACACGGCTGCTCCAGCACCCAGGGCTGCATCGGGGTAGGTCCATGTGACTTCTCCTTGGGGATGTCTTGCAGGAAGTCAGCCTTGGCAGCTGAAGCAGGGAACTGGCTAAGGCAGCTGCATCCTGGTCTGACCATCAGAGAGCAAGAGACCCGAGAACTCGAGAGGCGAGACTCACTGAGCCATTTATCCCTCCGCCCTTCAATTAACCCCACATGTGTTTATCGGCCAGGTTGGCACAATAGACTAACGACCTCATGCTCTGAGAGAGAAAGACTAGGCACATTACTCCGGTAAAGATGTACAGTTTCAGAAATCCAGGCTAGTAGATCTACAGAGACAGTGACAGGATCGGGGCATGGCAGGGAAGGAAGGGGAGACATGGAGAGTTCACAACAAGTATGAGAAGAAAATGCTCTGAAATTGATTGTGGTGGCGATTGTACAATCTCCTATGAGTGAGCGATTAAATTACAGGATGTGTGAAATGGGCTGCCAACTATAAGGTCAGCAGTTCAAAACCACCAGCTTCTCGGAGGAAAAAAGATAGGGCTTTCTACTCCTGTGAAGAGTTACAGTCTCAGAAACCCAGCAGTTCTACCCTGCCTTCTAAGGGTCGCTGTGAGTCTGCATTGACTCAATGGCAGTGAGTGTGCTTGGTTTTGGGTGAACAAATGAGTGTAAGCCCCTCCTTGCCCATGCTGGCTCCTCCCCATTCTACAGCCCTGCGTGGGTCCTGGGGCATTAAAAGCCTGCAGCTGGGGGGTCCTTAGAAGTTCTGAGAGCCTTGGAGCCAGAGGCATTGTGGGCATGGCTGCCACCAGTCCCGTGAGTCCACCTGGCCGGGGCCCTTCTGAAACCAGGGGCTGCAGTGGGGTGGCCTGGGTGGGCAGTTGGGAGCCCACCCTGACTCCTTTCTCTGGTCAGGCCAGAGAGATACAGGGAGGAAGCCCAAAATTGGAGGAGAAGACAGTGGAGGAGGAGAGGGAGCAGGAGGAGAAGGCAGCAGCAATGGCGGCGGACCAGGACGAGGAGACGCTGCAGCCTCAGAGGAGGAAGGGCCCCGCAGGAGAGGAGCCCATGGAGGCAGTGGCGGTGCAGCCAGAATTGCATTCCCTGGAGAACAGGTAGGGCAGGTGCCACCCTCGACTAAGTGGCTGTGTGCCCTTGAGTGCCCCCTGCCAGGGGAGCTCCACTCCCACTCCTCAGCCGCCGGCCCTGTGGGCCCCTCCAGCCTTAGCTCGGCTGAGATTCTGCTGGTCCTGCTGACCCTCCAGATAAACTGGCCTCGCTCACCTCCCCCTGTGCCCTGAAGGCGGGCCACCCCCTGTTGTCCCGGGGCTGGCACTGATAGGGAGTCCTCTCTGCTTCCTCCCGGCTTCCCCCCAGGTGGGCTCTGTGGTTCTTCAAGAATGACTCCAGCCAGGCCTGGCAGGACAACCTGCACCTGATCATCAAGTTTGACACCGTGGAGGACTTCTGGGCGTGAGTGTCTGCTCTCTTAGCCCCTAGCCAGCGCCTCCCACTTGGCCTCCCCCCGCTTCCCCCCAGGGGCTGTTTCTGGCATCAGCCAGCTCCCCAGGCCTCTCGCAGCCCCTCAGCATTTGTGGAGGTCTGGTGCTGGGCCATGGTAAGGTGCTTGGTGGCACTCCAACCCAAAGGTCAATGGGTGAAACAATCGATCAGAGAGCAACGTCACACCTGGGGAGTCTGCATAGTGAGAAAGGCACAGGTTGTTTGAGGTTAACACCGGTCGCCCTAATGGTGGTTGAGAGCGGAAAGATGCCCCAATTCCCGGTGTGAAAATAGTTGCTCTGCCAGACAATGAGGGGGCAAATATTTCTGTATAGTCAGAGAATGAACTGAACATGACAAAAACAATCAGGAGATCAAGGCAGAGCACTAGACTTGACAGGGTCTAACAGGGCTAGGTGGGGAACCCGTGGATAACATGATTGGTAACAGGTGAGGGTCCTAGAGTTTATTCCAGGTGGTCGCCAGACAGCACAGGACAGGTTCTCCTGATCACCCGTTAGTGGCATTGCTTCCTCGGCCACGACTGTTCCTGGGGAGCATCCTGTGATCTGAACACGTTACCCATCCCCAGGGTGCTCAGGGCAGAAGCCATCATATCTTGCCTCCGGTCGCCCGCAGAGGAAAGACCCTCTGGAACATGCTGGGGTGGGCTGCACCTGTCAGCCCTCAGACAACAGGAGCCTCTTCTCTGGTCCTGTGGTGTGGGGTATGGAGTGGGCTGCCAACTGAAAAGCCAGGGGTTCAAACTCCCCTGGAGAAAGATGAGGCTGTCTGCTCTGTACAGATTCACAGCCTCGGACACCCACAGGGCAGTTCTCCGCTGTTCTACGGAGTCTCTATGAACCAATCCACTGGATGGCAATGAGATTTGGGGTTTTTTCTGCCCTAACAGTATATGGTTAGGTCAGTGTCAAGGTTAGAGGAGCTGCTGCTCTTAAAAGGGTAGCTTTAAAAAGAACCACCCTGGTTTCCTAGACTCCTGTCCAGACTTTCTGAAGAAACGGAGGCTCCACTCTCAGCCTGCTCGACATGCCCACTCACTCTGCGTGCCTCTGATTTGAGGCACGAACAGAAAGCACCAGGGGAGAAAGACTAGCAGCCGGCCCTGTAAAGGTTACAGCCTTGAAAACCCCCGGGGACAGTGCTGCTCTGTCCTGCTTGGGCACGCACGGAGTCAGAATTGACTCAGTGCCAATGGGTTTGGATGTTGGTTTGGGGCTGGATGAGTTTTCCTGGGTGGGAGTGGAGGTGGGGACTAAGTCTGTGGGGGAACAGCCCTCCTGAATTGGCCTTGGCTGGGCACTCCCTCGCTTTGTGACCTCCTGTAGATTCCTTACCTTCCCTGAGCCTGTCTCAGCAGCCAAGTCTGGACTCTGCTGCCTCTGTCAACAGAGGACACACCCCTCCCTGAAAGATGCACAGACCCTAGGGGCGGGGTGTGGGGTATGGTGGTGGGGAGTGGGGCTCCAGGAAGGCTTTGAAGAACAGTGGGAGGGGGCTAGACATCAATCCCCCACTTCAACCCAGGCAGCTGCTCTGGAGCTGACCCTGACTCGGGGCAGCCCAAGTGCATCGGTGCAGAACTGTGCTCCAGAGGGTTTCCTACGGTCTGGTGTTAGGAAGGACTTTCTGCTGAGGTGCCTCTGGGTGGACTCGAACTGCCAACATTTCTGTTAGTCATAGAGCAGGTTCCCTGTTTGCACCTGGATCCCCAAACCCTCAATACCCTGCTTTGGCATCTTCAAACCTCTCTGGGGGCTGTGGCTTCCTTGGGTGTGAAGGATCGGGAAATGTTCCAGACATGTGGGGGTATGGTTGAGGGTTTGGATGCGAGAGGGTGAAATTCCAGGCAGGAGAGTCAGTGTGAGTCTGGAAGGGTGGCGGGTGGCGGGGCACGCATTGCACAGCAGTGCCAGACGCAGTCAGGAACTGAGGGGACACGGCCAGCTGGAACCAGCCCCTCTGGGACTTGATCGTCAGCAAGGGGTCTCTCTCCAGGGTGTACGGTCACATTCAGTTGGCCAGCAAGCTCTCTTCAGGCTGTGATTATGCCCTTTTCAAGGTAAGCTCCGACCCTGTTCCCCCCACCACCACCTCCTGCAGGGTGGGGCCGGTTCCTTCATCCCTCCCTCACCGGGGTAGGGACCTTGACCCCTCCCTGGTGCTGTGTCAGAAGGGCCTTTCAGTCTGCAAAGGGAGGAGCAAAGGGGCATTTGGAAGGTGCCTGGTTTCCGGTCAAAGATTTTGCCTCGGAAGTGTTCCAGGAGCCCCCTCCCAACCACCCAGGCCATCTGTCCCCATCGATGAGTGAGTGCCCTGAGGCCTGGCCATGGGGATGTGCCCACTCAGGTTTGGAGACCATGGGCAAAGACTTGGAGGGCTTGCTTAATCCGCCCCTGTCTCCATTGGAGAGGATGGAGGCAAACGAGGTATAGAAAGGGCTGGGCCAAGGGCAGATGAAGATCCGCTGGGTCCTCACCTTCACCGTTGATCAGATGTGCCCTCCCTGCCTCCCAGGATGGCATCCGGCCCATGTGGGAAGATAGCAGGAACAAGCGCGGGGGCCGCTGGCTGGTCAGCCTGGCCAAGCACCAGCGCCACAGCAAGCTGGACCGCCTCTGGTTGGAAACAGTGAGTGGGCACTGGGATGGGCATGGAAGGGGCTGGTGCTGGCTTGAGGATGGAGGCCAGTGGGTATGTGTGGGGAGGCACCCCTGTGCCCGAGCCAAAGCATTCACTGTATTCCTCCTGGGGGCCCAGCTGCTGTGTCTGATCGGGGAGAGCTTTGAGGAACACAGCCAGGAAGTGTGTGGGGCTGTGGTCAATATCCGCACCAAGGGAGACAAGATCTCCGTGTGGACTCGGGAGGCGGAGAACCAGGCCAGCGTGCTGCACATCGGGTGAGGGGCATGCTGACATGGAGTTGGGGGTGGTGGGAGGAGGGTGGCCTGGATGCAAGGGGGAGACTACAGAACAGGGCAGAACCACCTCTGGGGCCGCAACTCTGGGGAGCTGAAAGCCTCATGCTCTCCCACAGCTCCTGGTCCTTTGCAACTGCTGACAACTCGGGCAGCAGCCCAATCTGTAACCCAGTATGCATCAGGGCTCCTTAGAGAGGCTTCTGGAACTCTCCCTGTCCCCTTCTCCTCCTTCCGTACCTGCCTGAATCTGAGGATTTGCAATCTGTGGATTTCAAATTATATTCCTAGCAGAACTCTTTCTAGGATTAAGGAATTATATTTTGGGTTTCCATATGGAGGTATCTATCAGACACCCGCCCCCCACACCTGTGGCTGGATGCTGGGAGGGACTTAGAGGGCAAAGGAACAGGCCCTGGTGGTCAGGTGGCAATCATGTGCGTCTCCTGTCCTCCTCCAGGCATGTCTATAAACAACACCTGGGCCTCTCAACCAAAGCCATCATCGGTTACCAGGCCCATGCAGACACGGCCACCAAGAGCACCAGGAATAAGTTTGTGGTGTGAAAGACCTTGGCCTTGCTCCCATTTCAATGTCACCACCTGAGCCTTGTGTGTGTGTGTGTGTGTGTGTAAATGTGTACACGGTGGGGGGAGGGTGGTCTACACAGTTGCTCCTGGGCAGGACTACTGGACAGACAGCGGGTTCTTCCCATGGCCTGCAGGAAATACAAAGCCCCCTTAACATGAGTGGGGGCTAGGCATGGGGCAGCTCTGTAGCGGGGACCTAGTGCTGACTGGAACTGCAGAGCAGGGGAGAAGGACCCAGGGTCTCTGGCTTGCCTTCTATCACCTGGGGGAAGGATTGCTTGTTGGGGGATGACAGAGTCAGTACTTTAAAGCCCAGACTTCCATTTCAGGGAGGGGGCTCAAGGCCATTGCCACTCAGAGGACAGGTGTAGAGGGACTCTTTATGATCATGATGCTTGAAAACCTTCAGAAGTGGTCTCAGACTTATAACCTCAATGTCCACCCATGGCTCTCCTTCTTTTGCCACCAGTGGTGGGTGGGTCCCTGGAGTGGGGCTAGCTTGGTGACCCATGGCCCAATGACTCCGAGGCAGAGCAGACACCTGTCCAGAGGAGATGATAGGGAGAAAGCCTTCTCTTGGTCCCTGGCCTGGGGCCACCAGGGTGCTCCAGCTTCAGGTCCTGAGTGAAGTGCAGGTGTGTGAGTGTCCCTGTGCGCCAGGAGGGAGGGTGGTGGTGTCAGCTTTTCTGTGATTCTAAATAAATGCTCACTTCTGAACAATATTAGAATTATTTTTAAAAATCATTTTATTGGGGGCTCTTATAGCTCATATTACATTCCATACATTAATTGTATCCAGCATATTTGTATGTAGATTGCCATCATTTCCAAAACATTTTCTTTCTACTTGAGCCCTTGGTATAAGCTCCTCGATTTTCCCCTCCCTCCCACCCTTCCTCACGAACCCTTGATCATTTATAAATTATGTTTTCATGTCTTACACTGTCCGTCATCTCCCTTCACCCACATTTCTGTTATTGGTCCCCTAGAATTATTTTGAAAGGGTCTACATTAAGATTCAGAACTTGGACCTCTTTCTCTGTCCTTTCTTGAGAGGAGGGCTTGTGTCAGCCTCCAAGCTACCCAGGACCAAGCTGGTTTGGGGAAGAGGAGTGAGGTTGAGAGGCCCCAGCCACCGATGGGTGGGGTGAAGCAGGTGTTGCACTCCCAAGACCCAGGTCCTCACCTGGCCTGAGGTTGAGCCAGTACAGGTAGCGTTGAGCTTCTGCTAAGTGAAAAGGCACATCGGACTCCACTGCACTGTCATAAACCGTCCTGCACAAGTTAAAAACAATCCCAACTACTGGAACAGCTGCCCCTCCCCCAAGAAGAATTGACTTCAGAGGAAAGCACTGAGCTACAGCTCAGGGAGAGAGACATGTCTGGGAGCAAATGAAGTGGGAAGAAGAGAGTGGAGTACATCCTGGCCCACCAAGCCTTGAGGACGATATTTCTGCTCAGGGTAGCCAATCCACAGAGAACATATGTCCGGCCCCACTATGAGACATGACATCCCTCACTGACCCATAGCCCTACAGGGGACAACACTGGAGACAGTGTGGAAATTACGCCCGATCTGACTCCACCACACCGAAGCAAAACACTAAGGGCGTGCAACAGAACAGCAGGGAACAAAGTCCCCAGGGAATACCAAAATAAGACTTTGGGGCCAACGCTTGGCACCCCATCAGACTCGATTGGAAAACCCTCCTAAAGGCCAACAAACAGTCCTTGAACTATAACTATAAGCTTTTCTCTTTTTTTGTTACTTTTTTTTGCTGTGTTTTCTTTTGTTGCTTTGTTTTGCTCTGTCTTGTTTTTGTGCATGTTATTTCTGTAGTTCTGTCTAAATAAGATAGGCTGGATAAACAATCTGGAGAAGAAAACATGACTGACGGTTCCAGGGGGGCCATGGGCAAGGGGGAGGTGGGGGGAAGGAAGTGGTGCTAACAAACCCAGGGACAAGGGAAAAAGTGATCCAAATCAGTGAGGACAGTGTAGGAGGCCTGGTGTAGGGCTCGATCAAGGGCAATGTAACCGAGAGGAATTACTGAAACCCAAATGAAGTCTGAGCATGAGTGGGACAAGAGGAAAGTCAAAGGAAACAGAGGAAAGAGCTAGGAGGCAAAGGGCATTTATAGAGGTCTAAATAAAGGCTTGTACATATGTAAATATATATATGACCAGGAAATAGATCTATGTGCATATATTTATAGTTTTAGTATTAAGGTAGCAGATGGACATTGGGCCTCCACTCAAGTACTCCCTCAATGCAAGAACACTTTGTTCTATTAAACTGGCATTCCATGATGCTCACCTTCCTGACACAATCGTTGAAGACAAATGGGTGCATAAGCAAATGTGAAGAAAGCTGATGGTGCCTGGCTATCAAAAGATATAGCATCTGGGGTCTTAAAGTCTTGAAGGTAAACAAGTGGCCATCTAGCTCAGAAGCAACAAAGCCCACATGGAAGAAGCATACCAGCCTATGTGATCACGAGGTGCCGAAGGGATCAGGTATCAGGCACCAAAGAACTAAAAATCAAATCATTGTGAATGAGGGGGAGTGCAGATTGGGGACCCAAGACCCAGCTGTAGGCAACTGGACATCCCCTTCCAGCAGGGTGGGGAGAGGGGGAGGAGACAGTCAATCAGAGTGCAACAATGAAACAACTTTCCTCTAGTTCCTAAATGTTTCCCCCCCACCCCCACTATCATGATTCCAATTCTACCTTACAAATCTGGCTAGACCAGAGGATGTACACTGGTACAGATAGGAACTGGAAACAGGGAATCCAGAACAGATGATCCCTTTAGGACCAGTGCTGAGAGTGGCAATACTGGGAGGGTGGAGGGAGCATGGGGTGGAAAGGGCGAACCAATTACAAGGATCTACATATAACCACCTCCTGGGGGATGGACAACAAAAAAGTGGCTGAAAGGAGACGTCGGACAATGTAAGATATGACAAAATAATTTATAAATTATCAAGGTTCATGAGGGAGGGGGAACAGGGAGGGAGGGGGTAAAATGAGCTGATGCCAAGGGCTTTAGAGGAGAGCAAATATTTTGAGAATGATGAGGGCAACGAACGTACAAATGTGCTTTACACAATTGCTGTAGGTATGGATTGTGTTAAGAGTTGTATGAGCCCCCAGTACAATGATTAAAACAAAAAACAACCGATTACCATCCTCTCATGGAGTTAGTCGTCTGGGAGAGCTGGGAGAGCCAGGCTGGGGAGTGGGATGGCGCTAGGGCTGGACGTTGCAGATTGCGTGTGCGGGGGCGCGGGGGTGTCCGGCATATGTGGGCTTCGGAGGACACGGGGATGCCAGAGCATGTCTGGAGGACGCTCGGGGCGCCTGCTGTGGCAGCCTGTGTGGGAGACTGAGCCAAACCCGGGGTCGGAGCCGGGGATTAGGGACCGGTCCAGGATCCGGAGCCGCTCCGAGAAGATACGTTCTCCCAGAGTCGGGGGAAGTAAAGCGTAGGGGTGGAGCCAGGCTCGGAGGGGAAGAGCCCGGATGGGAGATGGGGACCCAGCCGTGCTCGGAGGCGGGGCTTAGAAGGAAGGCATTTGGGTTGGGGGCGGATCCAAGCTGCGGGGCGGGGCTCTGGGGATGAAGTAAGGTTCAGGGGCGGGGCCTGAGCCTCGGGATCGAAGCCAGGTTCTGAGGACTTGGGCGGACCCCAAGTCCTGGGGCCGGGCATTGAGGGGACCAAGTGAAGCTCTGGGGCGGAGCCTGTGTGCCGGAGGCGGAGCTAAGCGAAGGGTTCGGTCTAGGGGGCGGAGTCGGGTTCAGAGGCGGGGCTCTCGGGAAGGCTTCAGGGCGGGGCGCCCGGGGCGCCGCCGGGGGCGGTCCCTGCGGGGCGGGCGGGGCCCGGCCGGCGCTCTGTGTGGCCGCGGCCACTAAGCCGCAGCCGCCCGGCTAGGCCCGGGGTGGCTGTAGCCCAGGGCAGCCCGCGGAGGGCTGGGCCCGGCTCTTGGCTCCGGTTCTCGGGCCGGAGGGCGGCCGCTCACCATGCCCGGCAAGCACCAGCACTTCCAGGAACCCGAGGTCGGCTGCTGCGGGAAATACTTCCTGTTTGGCTTCAACATTGTCTTCTGGGTGAGCTTCGGGTTGGCTCCGGGCCTGCGCTGGGGGTGGCGGGAGGAGAAGGAGGTGCAGTTTCCCATCGGGAAGAGACCACTTCCTGCCGCAAGCGCTTAGGGCTCCGTCCGCACCCTCTCGCCCATGGAACAGCCCGAGGGGGCTGCGGAGAGGCCTGGATTGCCGGGGGTCGGCTCCCAGCCACTTGAGGGAAGTCGAGCTGAGTCTTCCCCAGGCCCGGCGGGGAAGGGGCTACTGCTGCTTTGAAAGCACCTGGGGCACATTTACTGCAAAACGGTCCCCGCTTCTCTAGCTTCCCAGGATGCGGGGTGCGTGTCGAGCCCCACCTCTGTGTTGTCCAGTGGGGAGGAAAGTGTGACGAGAAAGGTTGGGCCGGGCCCCTTCCCGTCCCCTTGCTCCTGACACCTGGACCTGGTCCAGGCTCTGCCTACAGCCCTGGGATTGGGCGAAAGCTCCCTCCCTCCCCACCCTCTACCCACATTCTGGACGCTGTGCGCAGGGAGGGGAACGAGCCTGATGCTCCCTCCCGCCTGGGTGGGGGGAATCTCCCTTGTTAGAGTTCAGAGTCTGGCTCTGGGCAACTGAATTCAGCGTTCCAGGGCGTGGTGTCTCTCGGGAGAGACAGGAGCGGTTGGTGCCCCTCCCAGATAGCAGGGGTGCCCAGGGTCCTGCCAAGTCCTCTAACCACTGTCCCATCTCCTGCAGTCCCTGCTCCCCCAGCCTTGGGTCAAGGCACCAGGCCCTTCCAATTCTCTTAAGCTCACTTGGTGGCCCTGCCCTCCACCCACGTGCTGCCGGGGGCTGTCACCCATGTGGTGTGTCCTTGGGCCTCCATGGTCTCAGCTTACCAGGGCGTGGGCAGTGTGCAGAGAGCTGGTAGGGAGGTCTGGGTGGGCCGAGTGGGTGGTCAGCTTTTATATCCGGGAGATTCCTGCTGCAGCCAGTTCCTTAGGGTGGTTAGGCAGATTAAGCAATGAATTCCAATACATTGTATGCTGATAACCACAGATTAACCACGGGAAGGGGTGGAAAGAAGGCCCTCAAACAGCTGGTTTGCACAGCGGCTGCAACTTTGGGCTCATTGAGAGGACTGCACAGGACCCGCAGTGGGTCGTTCTGTTGTGCACAGGGTCACTATGCGAGGACACCTAACAAAAATGACCAAAGATGAAGATACAGGCTCAGAGCTTCAGTCATCTACTTAAGGTCACACGTCAGCAAGTTCAGAACCCAATGGAGGGGGTGGTGGTGATCAATGGAGGTGGGGGTGGGCAGGGCATTGAGCAGAAGGAGCCCTGAGTGCCCAGGCAGGAGAGACCCCAGCAAGAGTCAGGGGAGCGAGAGGTTGGGTGCTGGGGCTAAGGGATGGGCTGAGCATTGAAGGAGCAGTGGGTCTGAGTTAGCTTTTGTCCTGAGGGCTGGTCTGCCCTCCTGCCCCTCCTAGAAGGTCAGGGCTAGAAGGTGGGGAACCCAGAAGGGGAGGCTGGAGCAGAGATGGTGTGGTGACAAAAGGGAAGAAGGCTCCAGGAGAAATGAGGCAACAAGAGGTCCAGGTGACCTGCAGGAGGTCCCTATGAGCAGGGTCACAGGCCTGGAAGTTTTTGTTT